GCCCAAATAAATGAATGTCTCGAGGCAGCTAATCAGTTTAGGAGTTCCAGCAGTTGATTCACAGTTGCAGTCAGATCGTTGCCTCGCAGAAGCTGACCGAGAGATTTCCACATACTTTTTGGCTTCAACTTCCTACCAAAAGCAAGTTATATTGACGAATGACTTAAGATACTCGCTTAAGAAACGTAAAAGTGTCACAAATCCATAGAAACAGGCTGGGAGAGAAACACACTCCTGTATATAACAGACGGATAAAGATAATTTATTTCTCAACATATTTGAACCTCTTGAGATTGTTTTATTGCTTCTTTTACTTACGTTTGGGCGATATCACCTTTACCCCGGATTCAGCTGCACTACGGCCTGATGTCTGATTGATTTTGTCTACCTAAGATCAAAGTCACAATGTGGGTAGGTTAGACTTGAGATCAAAGTAGTTACTTTGGTAACCAGTGAGCTGGGAACGACAAAGCTGGTATTGAACCGGGAATGACCAGGACACAGGCTGGTGGCAGCGACAAAGAGTCAACCCCAAAACGCTGGTGGAAGAAACCTTACAGCTTCGTGGCACAACTGGGAGTTGACCACGGGCCAACAGCGCAGTGTCACATATTGGCGTTGTGACCAGAGAACGTCACATACTGGCACTGCGACAACCGGTGGGTGTCACACCGTACATTCCAACAAGATAGTTTCAGTTTTATCATTAGTTTTTAACTTTTGTTCAAGCGCCAAATAGACATTTGCCAGCCACACTATACTGGCCAGATGAATGAGACATGTAATTTTGGGGGTCACCTTTTCTAGACACTTACAGCAATCTTCTGGTGAGCAGTGCTCTCCTTAAAAGGGCTGCTCAGACAGACCTGGAAGAACCAAAAACCACCCTTGTCTCAATGAAGGCGAGCTAGCGACTTTACATCTACCCAGAAGCTGCCAAATGTGCAAGTCAGCAGCTATGCACTTCCAGCCCATCAGACCTGTACATGTCACTGCATTGCCATTGAACTTGGATTGGGAAAAAAAAAGAAAAAGAAAAAAGAACTATAAGCTGGCAAGTTGTCAGTAATGCCCATGCAGATTTTAAGGTCGGATGCAGCTTGCACTGCATTGACCCTCATCACAAAACCCATTGCCCAGAGACAAGCAGTTGCAAGATATCTAATGTGGCCATGAGGCAGGTTTTCTATCAGAGTTTCCTTCTCCTAGGAGGCTGCCAGAAAACTTGGGAGGGTCCCACCCACCCTCAGTTGGCTAACTATGCATTTGTATACCAGCCAAAATATTTCTATAGCCTCACACAGAGATAGCTATATGGCCATTGATCTCTCAAAGAGATTCATCTGCCCTTTGACTGGTCTTATATTTGTCCTGCAAGGATTCTAGCCTACTTCCTTCCCATATATATGTCCGCTTGTACAGATCATCTGTCTAGTTGTAGGGTGCAAACACTACCCATGTGATTTAGCCCACCTGCTGAAGTGGTTTACAGGAACTTGGGGACTTAGGGGAAGAATGAAGACCAGTGTTGCTCGTCCACCTTAAAAATAAAGGTGCAGCAGCTGAGGTACTACTTCTACTCACTGCCTCTACACACATAAAACATATATTTTACATATATTTTACTTTGGATGTCGGAGTAAACAGATTGTCATCAATGTGCCAATATTACTATATATACTAAAATATAAAATAATTATAAAGTATAAGAGAAAATTTAATTGTTGCTATTTAAAATTATTTGAAAGGTAAATAATAAAACAAATTGTCTAGTAGTAAAAACAAAACAAAATAACGGGAACACTTTTCAACAAAATTGAAAGTATGTTACTTCATAATTAATAAATAATATATTGTAAATTAATAAGAAAATGTAAAGGAATAAAATTTATACCAAATGTTATTAAAAGAATCTTTGAATATAAGTAATAATAAAGAAATCAGCGATAATGAACCAATAGTCAAAGTAATGATAAACAAAATAAACATTACAAATCTACTACTTTCACCCAATTTCGAAAATTACAACCACTTTCGTAAAGAAAAAAAAAAGGAGAAATGTTACGCTTAAATATAAATAGACAAGAATTATTCATACCACTATAAAATTAATTTAATAAATACAATGCATTAAATGATCTTAAAACTCTCAGTAAGATATTCTTAATAAATTAAACTTAAACAATATTTATTTAAAAAAAAGAAAAATCGTTATGACTTAAAGATAAATATGTAAAAAAGATTATAAAATGTGAATATTAAATACTATATGAATGCATGACATAACAAATAATATAGTAAACAAAGAAAAATACAAAAATAATAAACACTTTCCTTTAAAATAAGACATCACTTTCTTTGAGCAATGAAAGAAAAACATCCATTTACTCCAACACCAGCGTTCTATATCCATATACATATATACAAAGATACACACACACACACACACACACACATGCACACATATATACACAACATGTTATATATATATATATATATATATATATATATATATATATATATATGCACACATACATACATATTTTATATAATATATATATATGATGATGATGAACTCTCCCATTGTTAAGGACAATGTATGAGTGTCTTTTAATTCATTTTTTATGTTTATGTTTCGTATGAGACAACAATCCTGGACAGGATTTGCAAACAAGTCCACACAAGGGACATGCTGAAGGGTTGGCCATCATATGGGCTGATGTATTAGCCTGAGATTTAGTGTTGGTTCTTAATTCTCTCAGATGGTTGAGACGATTCTTTTTAAAGTTAGTTATACCTCGGTAGCATGTTTCTCCAGTTTGCTCAGTTTTCAACAGCAAATTCAAACTCCTCTATAGGGATGTTTGCAGCATTTAAATTGTTTGTCCTTGAAACATAACCAAGGACAGCCTCCATTACACTTACTATGTAAAAGTTGGCTCAGCATCCGATCATCACTCCTTCTGAAGACAGGACCATATCATTTGAACTGTGATTGCATCAGAAAGGATTCAATACCACTGACGCGACATCTGATGAAAAGATCAGAGTTAGAGATTTTGTCCTGCAGTGTATAACTGCATATTGAACGAAGACAGCATTTATGAAAAGCAACAAGTTGATTGATGTGCATCCTGTATGGCGTCCATGATTCTGATCCATGTCAAGTGTGGTGAGAATGACTGCTCGATCGACGCTGATTTTCGTTTTCAGTGAAATCCCATGAACATCCCATAGGTGATGCTTAAGTTTCCCAAATGCATTGGTTGGCTTTGACATTTGGTTAACTATCTTGTCATCCAAAGAGGCACTTGAATTTGCTTCCAAAGTATGTTATATATATATATATATATATATATATATATATAAAAAATGGATTCTCCCGTTGGTTTCAACATATGAGGATCTGACAATTTAACCAATTGATTCAGTTATGAATTTTGTGCACTTAAGACCCGGTGCTGCACGCTGAAATTGCCTCCTCCAGACTGATAACAAGAAGTCGCCTTCCTGACAAATTGTCCATGGTGAGATTTGAACCTGGGTCTCAGAGTCAGACAGCAATTATTCTAATGACTTGGACACATGTCCATACGCATATTGCTGAGACAAGATCCATGGCACCACAAACTATGGATGTAGAAAGATCAAAATCCACTTGTACGCCTAACCATGAAGAACACATTCTACATGCTGTTGAAGACAATCCAGGTATCAGCACACGTCAAGTGGCCCTAGCATGTAATACATCTCATAGTCCTGCATGGAGGGCACTTCAAGTGCAGCTCCTGTGTATCATTTGCATCATGTACGTGGTCTTTTGCTCTCTGATCACTTGCCATCATTGAACTTTTGCTGATATGTTGTTTGTCTCTTCAGACTTGTTTATGGATGAGGCAACTTTTGAAACAGATGGGTAACAAATTTATACAACCAACATTTGTGGGCACATCGGAATCCCCATGGTACAATACAGGCTAGACATCAGCATCAGTTTAAGATTAATGTAAGGGCTGGAATTGTAAGTGGCAGGTCCATATGTTCTCCCAGCACATCTTACAGGAGCTGTCTACAGGGGCTTTATTTTGAACACACTTCCATTGCTAATGGGAAAATGCATGTAGTCCATTTTAGTACATGTAGTTCCAGTACATGCATGTAGTTCCAGAACATTTTAGTCCCATTGTTCATGATATTTTGGCTGACATCTACCATGAAAGATGGATAGGTAGGGGATAACCGTTCCAATAATCCCCCTACCTCAATCCTTTGGATTTTTATCTGTGGTGTCACCTAAAACAATTAGTTTATGGAGCACACATTAATACAGAGATGCTTCATCAACGTGTCATGGGTGGGGTGGGGGGATGTTCTGCAAAACCATTCAACACCATGTGGGAGTATTTGAAAGGGACCGCCAGTCAATGATCCGTTGGATGCATGTGTGTGTACAAGCAAGCAGAGGACATTTTGAACATTTGTTATGAGTTGGTGTGTTGAGGTAAAATGATAGCCTTTTAGACATGTTTATATGGACTTTTGCCCTTCTTTTGGTGTGAGGAACCTGTAAAAGTATTTTTGATACACCTTATATATATATATATATATATATATATGCACACACACACACACACATATATATATATATATATTTATACACATGCAAACATATGTTAATATAAGAATACTTTTAAATTAACAAAATATATTTTCAATAAGTTACAGAGGTAATTATTATTATCACTTTGAGGTAAAAAATCTTATACAACAAATCAAGAAAATGTGTCTGTAATAGCATCTTCTATATCAAACCAGATGAGAACAATAGTTTGAAATAATATTAATTAAAAAAAAGCAAAAAAATTTCTAATTTCGTCTATAATATTGGTATACAAATCTGTACACTGTCTTATAAATTCAGAGAAAATAAATATATTTTCTATGACTACTAAGATAAATCATCATTCTAAACTAAATAGAGTAATAGATTAAATACCTACCATAGTAAACTGCTCCAATTGATGTTGTATCTGGTTGGTCTTTTGCTGTTGAATGTAAAATGCCTCACTAAAAGTCCCTCCTTCTAATGAAGTTGAATTGGGTGGGAGACCTGGAGATTGCACTGGTGAATATGATGTCTGTGACAGAGGTGATGTAGGAGATTGGCAACTACTTTCACTATTTCTATACTGAGTCAAGGAAGGCTGAAATTTTACAATAAAAAAGATGACCAACAAAAACAGCTTTATTCAATGAAATCAAGCATTCTGCACTCTGGTTTTGAAAGAATGACAAAATGCATTTTTCCTTATGCAGAATATATTGCATACATATATAGCAAATGTTCTTATTTAAAATCAAAATTAGTAATATACAATGACTTTACATGACATCATTAAATCTCATAAAAAAAGGTTAGTTATAAAATATAAAATACATTAGAAACTGAATTTCTTTCATTTGTAATATTTTTAAAAACTTTACATCCTTTATAGCAAAGGTAACAATAGACTTCGTTGAGGAATATTTTTAATCGGGTTCAATTTTTTTAGTTTTTTTAATTAAAATTAATGGCTTATAATGATAAAAATATAACAAGTGTTTAGACATTTTTGAATATGAAAAATATTGAATCAAATTTTAAATTCATCTTGATTTTTGTAAGAATAGTAATTTATCACATTTTTATGCAATAAGAAAGAGAAATATGCCAACCTGTACAGATGGGCATCTGTTATAGAAATAATACAAAAAGACAAAATTGCTATTTAGGAATGGAAACAACAAAGATATAAATATGTATTACTTAAAAAAGTAATCCATGATTAGCGATGAAGTTTTTACCGAATAAAGATTAGGGTGTAATGCATAAATATTATACAAAGTTACAAAAATTTACATAATAGTTTTTTTTAAATAAAGATTAAATGGAACAAAAGAAATAAGCTACTGGACAAAAGTTAAGGAACGATCTTGTTAATATTTGATTGTGAACAAAATATCAACAAAATTTAATATTTGGTAAACATCCCCTTATTTGCAATGACTTCTCTGCATCGTCGATCTCATGATCTAATTAATTTCTTGCAAAAATCAGCAGTAATTCCCTCCCAATTCATCTTTCAATAACTCCCATATGTGATCCTGGTTTTTTGGGTTTCTTTTCTGAGCCTTTTCTCCAATTATCTTCCAAACATTTTCTATTGGATTCAGGTCGGAGCTCTGGGCTGGCCACTTCATTAGGGCGATTCCTTCTACAAATAAAGCCCTAACCTCCTGAGCCTTGTGGCAAGGTGCATTGTCCTGCATGAAAATAGGAGATTCATAAAGATTATGGTGTAATCTTGGTATCACATGCTGCTGAAGAAGCTTTTATAAATCTCAGCATTGATATTGCCATGTACGCGGATGATAGGGCCAACTCCTGCAGATGAAATCATTCCCCCACCATCACACTGCCGCCACCAAACTTAACGGTTTTCTTGACACATTGAGAAGACAGTCTTTCACCTGTTCTATGGTGTACGTAAGTTTTGCCCTCAGAACCAAATATAGTAAACTTGGATTCGTCACTGAAATGAACTGTATCCCATTGTGTCAGTCCAAACAACATGTTCTCTTGCATACTCCAGGCGTGCCCTTTGGTTTCGCTTTGAAATGAGGCTTTGAAGCTGGAATATGGGCATGCAATCCTGCATTTTTAACCTGCGAGCAACCGTTTTCCTTGAGATCTTATTATCTGTCTCTTCATTAAATTTACGGGCAATTGATGTAGCAGTTTCAAAACGTTTTTTTTTGTAGATATTCTAACAATTCTTTGATCTTCTCTTTGTGATGTTTTGGAGGTCTGCTGGTTTTTGGTTTTGCATCTAACGTTTTATCGGTTTTATACCTGCTAATTACATGATGAACGACACTTTTAGACCTATGAACAATATCAGAAATTTCTGAAATTAACTTTTTTCTTGATAGTTAGTGATATAATGAGTTTTTTCTTCAAAAAGAGCGTTTGTGTAGAATTTACCATATTGCTTAAAAATAAAGTCCTAATAGTAAATGAACTTTTACTTATTGTTGAAAAACTCCATCGAGTTTTTTAACAATGTAAATTAAGTTTATGCAAATTATTAACATCGTTCTTTAACTTTTGTCCAGTCGCTTATTTCCTTTGTTCCATTTAATCTTTATTTTAAAAAAAAACTATTATGTAAATTTTTGTAACGTTGTATAATATTTATGCATTACACCCTAATCTTTATTCGGTAAAAATTTCATTGCTAATCATGCATTACTTTTTTAAGTAATACACATATTTATGTCTTTGTTGTCATGTTCCTTATATTATATTTTTACCGTATAAAGTATCACATTTTATATTCAAATATCTTTGAATTATTTATCATGAAAAACAATAAATATTCCAATAAATTTGCAAACGAACACCTAAAACAGATTTGTCACACAACCAATATTAAATAATTATAGTTTTTTATTTTTTGTCAAGTTTAAGTGAAAAGATCTGAATTTTTCAAATCTATATTTGAATTTCTAATATTTTTTTTCTGGAAAACTCTTAAGAATGTTTTTTTTGTTTAAATAACAAGAATATAAAACTGTCATCCCCAAACACCAGGCATCAAATAGTACTGGACTGGACCATTTGTTACATAAAATGCAGAAATAATCAAAATTTTTTTTTTATTATAAAAAAATAAATGAAATCTTTTTATTGTGTCTTGTTATGCAAGTAATTATTTGAAATCCCACCACCATTAAAATATCAATTTTGTTGGCTTGCATGTGACCAGTCCATGACAAAAATCAAAAATTGGGACACCATGCTCTATAATATAAATAATAGGAAGATGAATTAATAATTTAGGTTATATCTTAGTTGAATGATATGAGTATTTCAGTATCTGTCTATGTTTCTGAGATAAGAAACACAGTGGATAAAGGCATTGGTTAGATCCAAAACAGAAAAACCTAGTCATGAGTTCAAACCCATTTTAATGGCAAAAAACTTGAAAAAATTAACAGGAGATAAAAAAACTGACATCCATATATATGGATTAAGAACAGTCTTTAAGTGAGCAAAATAAACATTTCAATAAATTTTAAAACACCTGAATTGAAGGCTGGAGTTATAAAACAGCCAAAACATTGTAATCTTTTATTTAACAAAAGATGAGGACAATAGTCCAAATAATGTAAGAATGAGTATTTCTCTAAAAGACAGCCTACTGAATGTATTAATTCATTCAAACAAAACTATTTTTATTAAAAAGAAAATATACTCTCTGTCTGTATTTAGTCCATTACTCTAAAACAAATTGTTATAAAAGCTAATATCATTTTACATCTGTTCACTGATAAAAATAACTGATATTTCAGCAACTTCTTTGCATTTTTTTGAATTCTTTTTAACCTACTTCTCTTCAAACTCATCTATCCTTTTTGTTTTTTTATAATGTTGTAGAAATAGAAATAAATAAAAAAAAAATAAAGTGACTTTGTTTCTATCAATGTATGCTTTTGGCTCAAGAAGAGAAATTATACAAAAAGTTATAATCTTCAATCACTTTATATTTGCCATAAAGCTTCCTGTGTCTTTTCTATAAAATTTCATTGAAAAATTGTTCTGATGAACTTCCCACTATTATTACCTAAAACTTTATAAAATTTGATACTTAAATTAAACAAGGTTTCATTTTTGAGTCAAATTAAGATTATTTATTTTAAAATCTATCCTAACAGTTTCTTCTATCAGTTCTTGTCTTGTGGAACTCTCTTTCGAAGAACTTCCCCAGTCAACATTGATCTTCAAAAATTCAAATGCAATGCCAATCATTATCTTCTGTCTTCTTAATTCTTGTTCTTTCTTCTTAATAGTGTTTTATTATCTATTATTATTTATCCTGTTCTTTTCTTGATCACACTTCTTAATAATGCTTTCTTTTCCTCATATTCTCTACGTTATCTGGTGACTTAGTGGCTTTATTGCCTTATTTTAGGGTAAAATGTTAAAAAATAAAACCTTTATATTAGAAGCAATTATAGCTTTTTTTTGTATCTGCAGAACACGCGACCAAATTTTACATTTTTTTATAGATTTATGATTTTTAATTTTCTTAATAGTTCTGTATGTTTAATTTTTTCCAGGACTGATGGTAGGGATACAAGTCAACGTATCATGATATTTCTTCTTTTTTTTAACTGCTTGGAAAACTTGATTTATTTTGAGACATTAGGATAACAAGAACATTTACTTTTTGAGCAAACTACCTGAATATAGATAAAAAATGGGTAATTATACAAAAAACAAAGGGACAGAAAGTGGTGTCTTCTCATTGAGTTTTTTTTAACCTAAATAAAAGCAATCCTAAGAGAACTAAAAGTTCTACAATTTTCTTATTGGTGAAAACAATGTTAAGATACACAGATGACATTATGCTGATATATACACATATATAAAATGAAGAAATTCCAAGACAAGGTAGGAAAGGAAATTGGGAAAAAAAAGATCTAATCATCACCTGTACAAAAAACAGATTATGGTTGTTAACAGTTTTGGATTCTTCCATTCTGATGGAGTGCCTGATGGATGAATTTGATTGGAGGAAAGCTGATTTGTGGCTTTTTAGGGTTCAAAATATATTTTAAAGCCATTTGCATTCTACAATTGATATTTTAAGTTTTTTTATGATTCCTTCTGTATTTAAACTGAATATATTTTCTAATAATTATAGTATTTTAAATACTGACAAAATATTTAGATTTGAAATTTGGTCTGAAAAAATTTAAAAGAATTTTGGAAAGAATGAAAAAATTACCTGTATTGATCATCTTGTATGTGCCAAAATTCATCTGCAGGCTTGTTCACTATTTATAAAATCTTTGTTAATTTTATGAATTTCTGATTAATTAAGTGCCTGTGAATGAATTTGATTGGAGGAAAGCTGGTTTGTGGCTTTTAGGGTTTCAAAATATCTTTTAAAGCCATTTGCATTCTGATTGATATTTTCATAAAGCTCATTGAACAAAATTTTTTGATCACCACCGGCAGGGTAAAAAAATTGAAAAAAGTCTGATGTTGGATAAACCTGAAACTTTTAAGGAAATTTGATGATTTGGCTGTAGGCATCTTACAGCAAAAAAAAAAAACTGATAATGATAAATAAAAAATTAGATTCTGCTTCAGTAA